GGCGGCGGTGCCGTGCGGGTTTCAGGGAGCCGTCGTCCCCGCTTGATGCTTTTACGGCAGCCCGGTGAGCGGTAATGCTGAGGTGGAGAACAAAACCCCTCTGCTGCGGTACTGCGCCTTGCAGGCGGGGTATGGCTCTCGGTAGCATCCTCCGAGCGTGGAAGCGGTTCGTAAAAATGGGGAGAAACTGCACGAGACTCGGTAACTTTTATGCAAATAGCCGCGTGTAATCGTTGCAGTTCTGTGTTCGGCAATGCAAAATCAATGCTCTGCTGATTAATAGATTGTTCAGTATTTAGCCGTTACTACGCATCGCTTGAATAAGTGGTGTAACAAAGTATCTTTTGACTAATACGAAGTACTAATAATTTAATTTAGAAAGTATTTTACGTTTTGTGTCATATAAAATGCAATTTACTATGCGCAAGGCATACGTGACTACTTTCTGCATTTAATATTTTCTTCAAATTCAGTAGCCGGAGCACCTGTTATTATATAGTGGGTTTTTTCCTGTTTTAAAAGTGCTGTTGGTCTAATACATTCAGCTCTGGCAGACGTTAGTAGTCCTTCTCACATGGTTTAATTTCTCACTGTTTCATTCGTTTCAGGATCAAGTCTTGTGTAAATTTAAACTGTTAACGATCCGTGAGAGGAGCATTTGTAAAAGATACTTACTGCATAGGTATTCTTAGTAACTTCCTACATTTGTGGCTGAATATGTGACATAAACCAAAACAGAACCAGAGGTGAATGAAAATTTCGTCTTCGCTAGTCTGAGCTAGTGTCCTAGGTCTGATCGGAAACAAGCTGAGTTCTTGGTGTAAACCCGAGTCGATTTTGCAGGGAAATTAAAGAAATCGTGGTTATATTAGACCCTCATTTCCATCCTGTTCTGACAGCATAGTGTTTTACCTACATGTGAATGACTGTTGCTCTATGCATGCATAACATTTCAATTAATGCTGCCTCAGCTGCCTAAAGGTCTGATGAGATGCTTGTTAGCACTTTGATTGCTTTTTTGTACATTATTGCCCCTGCGTGTGGGATTTGGATGTTACACGACCATGGTAGAATGGTGGAAATTAATTACAAAAGGTAATAACCTTTGGTGTAGCCATTAAAATGGTAGTTTCTTCATTTTTATGCAACATTTGGGGGCAGTTTTTACTTTCCACTAGGATGCTTTGTCAGCAACTGAGGAAAGCCATGGCTCAGAGGCATATGAGAGGCATAAAATGATCTGAGTATTGATAGACTGTTATCCACAGGGTCACTGCTGAAACAGACATATTGCTGCTGTGTCTGATGTGATGTGGCAGGGTGTTATGTTACAGTTGGTGATATTCTACTTTAAATTCTAAATTTAACCCAGTCTTTAAAATTATTTTTAGAAGCTTCTAATCACATGGTGTTTCGCTAATATTAATAGTACCTGTTTGTCCTTTTAAGATAAATGAAGAAAATACTTCCTGTGAAGAGTAAAAAGTACTCGATTCTGCGAAAACTCTTAAAGCACTTCTAACTTCAAAGCTGGAGATAAGTATGAATGAACAATCCATCTGAGTCCTTCAGTATCTCACACAGAACACAAAATGGCTCTTCAGAAAAAAACTGTTGCTGGTGTCTTGGAGGAGTGGTGTTTGGAGGAACCACTGTTTGGTTGCAGACGGCATCAGAATGTTAGGAAAAAACTGAGACTGATACGAATTATAGGGCTTCTTGTCAGTGTAGTGGCCATTAGTACTTTCTCTCTTTTGATTAGTGCCTTTTTCAAGATGGAACCACACAGCACGACACTGGCCAGCAGCCTAGATAGCCAAAAGCTGGTGCGTGGGCACCAAAGAACTCTGCTGGATTTCACTGAACAGAATGAAAACGGCGCTGCGGACCCACACGCTGCTATGAAATATGAGGCTGAGCATGACAATGCAACAGATGGTCATGCCAAGGGAGAGTACCCCGAGGACCTTTTCTCTCTTGAGGAGAGAAGAAAGGGAGCAGTGATCCTCCATGTAATTGGAATGATTTACATGTTCATAGCCTTAGCCATAGTTTGCGATGAATTCTTTGTTCCATCGTTGACTGTCATCACTGAAAAACTGGCTATATCTGATGATGTCGCAGGGGCGACCTTCATGGCTGCTGGTGGGTCAGCCCCAGAACTCTTCACTTCTTTAATAGGAGTGTTTATATCCCACAGCAATGTCGGCATTGGTACAATAGTGGGATCTGCTGTGTTCAATATCTTGTTTGTTATTGGAATGTGTGCTTTATTTTCTAGAGAGATCTTGAACCTTACTTGGTGGCCACTCTTTCGAGATGTGTCCTTTTACATCGTTGACTTGATCTTGCTAATCATCTTTTTTCTGGATAACTTGATCATGTGGTGGGAAAGCTTAACACTCCTCACAGCGTATTTTTGCTATGTGACTTTCATGAAGTTCAATGTTCAAGTAGAAGAATGGGTGAAGAAATGTTTAAACAGGAACAAGGTTGAGAAGGTAGCAACAGCAGACGCTGAAGGAAAGGTTGGTCAATTTTTAATTAGTGCATGTGTAATAATGTCCTTGTAAGTGCTGAGTCCTGTATCATAGGGATCCTAATATAGTACAGTAAGCAATATATAGTAAGAAGTCCCATGTTTTGCTAAAAGGTCTGTTTGTTTAATCAGTCCAATAGGATTGAAAACATAAAATGTGAGGCAGCCTTTCAGTAAATCAATAGCTTTTAACTCCAGAATGATCCTAGTCACACAGAAAGCAAGAAAAAATGCCAGCAAAAAGACATAAACCTTTACTCAGCATTTTGGCACATCAGTGAGGTCTGAGACATAGCTGCTATTTGTTACCTAAGCTTTTGGATTAAACAGTAACAATATCTGGGCAGGATCTTGTGACAAAATTTTACTTTATAAAGACTTTCAGTGCATTTTCTTCCTCAAAAAAGCAAATCATTCAGAGCAGTGCACAAAGGTATTTTAGCACATGTTTTTCATCTACTGATGCTGATATACAGTATTACAACTGGAAGTTAGTTAGTGACAATTACGTGAAAAAAGTCTCTGGAAAAACAGTTGACCACAGTGGCCAAAAGGCAGAGGTGCTCTGTTCAAGCAGGATGGTTTCCTATTCATGGTATTTGCCACTAAGCAGACTAATTTTTGGCTGAATACCTGGCCACAAGTGGTGAAGGGAATTTGTGTAGTAAGGGCTCCGTGGGTCTTCATGAATTGTTACTGTCTTTTGAGCAGCTCTCTTCTTAAAGCAGGCAATATTTAAGGGACTTATGAAGCTGAACCTGTAAATACTTATGTGTGTAACAGCATGTTAATTGGGTGTTTAATACTGAAATTGAATGTCTCGTTTTATATGACAATAGGGTTGTTATTCATCAGATAAGGTTTTATTATCCAGTAATTATTCAGAATATCAGGGAACTGTATGCTGTTTTGTTTCTTTCAATCAACAACCCTGTATGGGTGGTTCAGAAGAGAAACAATCCGCTGGTATAAGTGTAGAGGCATATGAACAGCATGATAGAGAGACAGAGCACGTACAACTATAGAGAGAGTCTACCTGCCTGTGACTCACACAAAACTGGTGATTCTGCCTAACTTTGGAGAGAGAAATTGACATTTTAGCAGTACAGACAGGTACTTTTAGTTTTAGGAAAAGCCACAAAAAAGTCAACCAAAAATCAGAAAATTACCGATTTTTAAATTTTCTAACCAAGTTTAACACCTGTACACTTACTTGTAATTTTATATTTTCCTTTTTGTTCTGTTTCTTCTCCAAAATCAGCATGCTTATCTTCATCTTTCTCAAAATACATAATTGAGATTTTATCAGAAAATGAAAAGAAGGGTCAACACCAACAAAGTATTTGCACTAGTGAATGAAGACCTTCTTTAACTATGTTGGTTTCGAAATAATGTAATATTTCACAGTGCATTGTAAGTGCTTTCACAGTTTGTGCTGAATGTGTGTCTCATGACAGGAAGAGCCTATGGTATATGAAGCAACTGTTTAATGCACTTTCACCTGTCCATAAACTGGATTTGAAGATGTGAATCAATATCTGCTCTTAAACAACAGTCAATATGAAAAGCAACTGTGTTGGGTTGTCCAGGCTATAGAGTGGTGTAGGGTAGCTGTATACCATGTAAACGCTCAATTATTTTCAACTGAACAGAAGAATAAATAACTTGTAAGCAACATTGAACATAATACATGTTTAAAGTATTCTAGATGGACTTGATTTTAAAGAGATAACTTTAGGAGCACTCCTTTATTGTTTGATCTGTTAATTACTTTTTCTTAGAGTTTTTTCGTATTATAGGTGCACAGATTTCAGATAGGGGTGAAAAAATCAGAAAACTGGCTACTTTTCCTAAAAATATAAGCTTTGTATCATATGTTTCATGAAGATATTTTTCAGTAATTAACTTGAAGTTAATTAAAATGATGAAATTGTGTATTCATAAACCGTTGAGAAGTAGAGGGGGGTGAAAGACGTGCTCTAATCTTGTTGCGATTTAGCTAGTATGTATTTTCATCTTCCCGAGGAAAATAGCTTCTGAAAGTATCAGACCATGTATTTCTTCTATGAGCCATGCTGTAAAGAGAGATTTTCAGAATATTCAGCTAACGCTTTGAAATTATAACTCATTATGCATTACTTTACTATTGAGTAGAATAGCGTTTAGCAGGATGAATGAACTGATTTTCTGATGGCAAGCATGTCACGGATTATGTTATTTGGAAAGAATCTCACTGAAGTTATGTGTTCAATTATTTACCATTATTAGAAAATTGATTTTGTTGCTTTTTAAATTTAAAAAAAGAAAAAAAATAGAAAGACTGTGACATGTAGTCCCAAGCCTGATAGAAATACCTAGGATTTTCAGCTTGAAAGTTACTGTCTAAAGTGAAGGACAGAATGTTTTTGTAGTCTGAGATCTGGTGCCTAGTAGTGAATGCAGTGCACGTGGATGCTGACTTCCTAACCAATGGGCTTTGTAAGTATTGCAGATGTGAGTCTTGGCTTTTGATGGCAAAGGATGCTTCATTTTTACAGTGTTAGCTGTTAGCCTAGATTGCTTCCAGTCATCAAGTGTATGCTATGTCAAGGCAAAATAAAATTGTATGTAATCAAAGTAGTGCATCAAATGCAGAATTTGCTGTCTCACTTGTTTGTAATAGAAACTTTGTCACTTTTTTTTTTCCCCCGTTAGGGCAGGGAATTGCTAGGCAGCTCTGTGGAATCGTTGGGTTAGAGTAGCTTGAAAGCTTTATTTCAGGAGTGTACAGAAAATTCTCTTCTTTCCCCTTCTGTCTGTCTGTTGTTGATTCTGCTATTGCCAAACTGGCAAGTGTTCTACTAAGAAAACGTGCCTGCTGTATTTGTCTTTAAGACTTTGCGTTGTAATCTGAAAGCAGCTCAACAAAGTTTAGAGATCTAAATAAGGCTTCATAAAGCTGGATAGTTGAAAGGTTAGGTGGCGTATTAGCAAACAAGTATCAAAGAGTAAAAATCCGATCAGATGAAAAACCTGTTGACATACTGAAGTGTATTTTAATGTTAATTTCAGTACTTTTATTATCAGTCATCTTGAAATTTTTAAGAAAGTTTTACATTCTCAAGAAGGGCTATATTTCCCACGAGAAGAAGGTCTTTGACACAAAACTATTTTTCTGCTTAGCTGTCATTTGCTCTGGATGTATTAATTGAGTTGCCAAAATGCATATATATCTCTAGATAGCTTTTGGATTCCTTTCTCTCTTCCCCGTTTTTAAGAATTAAAGCACTTTTTTTGTACTAGAAAACTGTGGATATTCAAACTTAACTACCTTTTTGGATCATATTTTCTTTAGTGTGTCAGTTACTTGTACAAATGTGAATGCAGAGAGAGTGCAAAATATGTACACAGTATGAATTTCCCTGTGCTCACATTTTTCCTTCACAAGCTTTCAAACAAATACAGTCTGGGTTTTTAGAGGGTACATGTTGAGCAAATCTGGTAACTTGAATTTTGGCGACAATTTGGTGACACTGATGAGAGTAGACTACAAAGTCTTTGTGTTTAGAGTTCGTGGAGGGCATTGGCAAGGCCCTGTTTGAGCTGTGGATAGTCTCGTGCTGTATCTCACCCTGAAGGAAGCCTGATGGCAGTCTGTCACTGATGATCTGCAGAGATCACTGTGACAAGGATGGAAAAAAGGAGTAAAGATGAAAAAGCAAGACAGCATGAAAAGACAGAATAAAACCCAGATAGCCAAGTTCTGTAGGGTGACATGTGGCGTATGAAGACCAAGATGGGTCCCTGACAAGTGACACCGAGCCTTGTAGGCTGCCCTGCATGGGCCCTGCAGTAAGTGGTGTGATCGCACCATCAGATACTTCCAAAAGTAGAAGAGGAAAATGGAAAAAGCTGATGTACAAAGTTCTTAAAAATAAGACTTTTTTTACCTTCTTCTAAGGTTTCTTTCTTCATAGTCTGTACTGGTGAAGGCATGTTGAATATATTAGATCATGGTAAAACATCATGTGAAATTACATTTCAGTTTTTAAGTACTTTTTTTTTCTTTAGTGTAACATGGAGATCGTTGCAGAAATACTTCAGTCTGATCTTTCAGTAAATAACTCAAAACAGTTCTGTTTGGCAACTGGGAGAACAAAATGTGGGTGGCACAGGGATATTGTGCAATGACATCTGTTTCACTGACAGTGCCATTTTAGATAAATAGCTTATGGTATATACAAGACAGTTACAGTTTTTCTGCATTTACAGAGAACTGCATTTGGAAAGTGAGCTATTTTTACCAGCAAGACATAGTTTGACATTATTTTATTGCCAATTTTGTTGTCTTAAGAAACCTGAATAGCTTGTGTGGGGTATTTTAAGATCTATATTGATCTCAAGTGTTGCAACGTTGTATTTAATAGCAATATTTGCATTTGAAAGGAAAGGTTGTTAACTATCTTTAGGTACTTCTGTACTTTGTGGCTGTATTAACACTGCACACACAGAGTCACTGTTACAATGTATAATCTAATATGTGTTTGTTTAAGCAAAACCACAAATTATCTGCATACTTACAGGAAAAACTGGAATCTGCAAAAGGTCTGAGTTCCTAGTTGGTTTGAACCCCTGAACAGTTCTTAATGTTGAATCCACAGACCCAGTAACTGTAACTGTATCTATAGAATAGCCTTTCTTCTCTCACCATCAGCAAAAGATATTTTAAAGCAGTGTTTCATAGTTCATAGGGAGATCAGAGTCATATTCTACAGACATTTCACAGCTGGTCTCCTTGTGCAAGCATGTGTGTGGATATAGAGCTATGAGTATCTGGATCTTGCATACCAACGTATGCAAGATGATTGCGTAGTTTTATGTATGTGTTTGGAACGTGAGCATCATTACTGTCCTTGTACCATGTTTTGTTCTGATAAAAGCCTCATTTTGTGTTACTTTTTATCTGCTTTTAGTATCTTGAAAACTTTCAGGTTACTTTTGTGTTAACTT